CCCTTTTCTTTTTCTTTAGCAACAAATTAAAGAAATAAAGATACATATATAGCATGATATGTCATTGTGCACAAGAACCAGAACAAGTGAGTTTATTCCATCACTCATCTCTCTACTTTCCAATCCCAATGGCAACCTCCCCGGAACCAATCTCCGAAAACCCTGTTGATTTTCGTGCCCCGCCGCCTTCTCCCGTTGCCTCTGGTCGCCTATCATCAGTCGCAAACGATGAAGTCCTCACCGAATTCCTCGAGCACTCCCTCCAAGTCCCTGACCTCATCTTGCCAGACAAGTTTTTCCCCAAGCAAATATCTATTGAAAACAATCCTCCCACAATTGATTTTGGGGCCCTGAATTCGGATGGATGTGACGCTAGTCTTTGCAAGGTGGTGGAGTCCATAGCAAGAAATGGATGCTTTCAGCTGGTGAACCATGGAATTTCAAGTGAGCTTGTGAGGCCAGTGCAGGCTGCCGCCAGGGGAATTTTTAGCGTGTCACCGGAGACGAGGGCTGAGGTTACTAGGTCACCGGAGAAGCCATACGGGTTCGAGGAAGTTCATGCTGAGGAGGCTGACCATGTATTGAGTGAAGAGTTTGTTTGGTGTAGAGACCAAGGCTTGAAGTTGGCAATGGATGGAATTGCCCCAATTGGATATTCAAATTTCAGGTATTTATAATCGCCAGTTTTAAAGAATCTTAATTTTTTTTATCAGAACGGACTTCCAACTTGTGACTAATTTCAATACTAGAAAGAGAAATATTATTAAACTAACATAACTAGTTAGTTATGGAAAATTTTATATAATTTTGGTTTTAACATTTTTTTTATTAAAATAAAGCATGTCGATCGATCGGACGAAATGTTACAATCCCAAACTTGTTGCTGTGCAGTGAAAAACTAGAGACCCTTATGACAAATATTGAGAAAGTCTGTGAGAAAATTCTACTAAGCTTGTTGATTAATTCTCAAGAAAAAATCATTCATGGAGAAAGCAAAAATGATGAAATGGTGCAAAGGAAAGAAGTTGGGACAGTTTGTTGCTTGTACAAGCATAGCCAGAATGTGTTACAAGATGAATGGGATAAGTCTCTGAGATATGATGTGATTAAGATGCTGATTAGAGGGACTGATTACTCTCATGCCTTGTGTTTACATATCTGTGATGGTTCTTCAGAGTTCCATGTTTACTCCAAGAAAGGTTGGGTTTCTTTTATCCCAGTTAAAAATGCCCTAATAGTCACCACTGGGGACCAAATACAGGTAATTAAATTAACATTACTGTGTATTATGTATATAATTCAAAGTTCTAATTATAAAGCCAACATTATAACTACTTGGTCTCCTAAATGGCATATATTGCTTTAGTTTGTATGCTATATTGTTTTCAAAGTTTGTGAATATATTTGCTTTTAGTGTCTAAAGGTTGCAATAAAGTCGGGTATTCCCTTGCTTTGTAGCAATTCATTTGATTGCTGCAAGCCCACCATCATGAACATTTGTACCTTCTACCATCATTATATTTTGTAATTTTATATCTAATGCCACCTATTCAGAGATGCCCTCATCGAAATATTCCCCCCCCCCCCCCACACACATATATATATATATATATTCCTCAAATTATTTTACTGGAGATTCTTCGTAGGACTCACTCAACATCGTACTTCAACGATCCAGTTATCTATCTTTTAGGTTGTTCCTCAAAGATTATCTATACCAAAAATCACTCAACTCCAAAACCATTTGACCTTTGGATTGAAGAATAGTTGTACAATGTCTCTTTGAAAAACCGTATTCATCAATTTTCTTCACTACAATTAGATGTCTTAGTGGTTTTGCATTTGTCTGAGTTTTTACAAAGATAATCCATGAATAATGTACTAAAATATAGACAATTTGTATCGTTAAAAAAATTATAGAATATGATGTCCCTCAATTAAGCTTATTTGAGAGACCCCTCAACAGAAGTAGACTGTATATGTGTGTGTGTGTGTGTATTTTGCTTAGAAATAAAATGATGCAATTTGAGGTGTCCTCAAATAAGCTAATTGCATTTCTTTGTTTTTTAAAAGGCATGGAGTGGCAGCCAGTATAAGCATGTGATTGGAAGGCCAATCTTTAAAGGTGAGGAGGAATTTATTTCAATGGCTTTCCTCTATTCTCCTCCAAGCTTCATTACAAACTCCCAAAGCAGCAAGGAAAATACTATTTCACTTGGTCAACAAGTTATAGTGGCTATACTTCTTACTCTTGTCTACCAATTTTCAGTATACTTGTCAAGCCATTTCTGATGCATTTACTCGTCAAGTTATTTCAAAATTTCAAATAGGGTAGTATATACATGTGAATGTGTGGATGTATTTTGGATGATCTTGGAATTATTTTATACAATGTAACTTTGCAAATTTGAAGTTAATAGTAAGCTTGTAGTCTTCATGATGATTTATATCATTTTTTTAGTTGGATAAAATTTTATTAAAATGATCAAGAATTTACATAGGACAGACATGTCAACATTCTCAAAATAAACCTTATCTAGGAAAAATGATATGGGAAATCTCTAGAGCAATACCAAGAAGCCACACATGACCGGACTCGGATATCCATATGGACACCAAAATCGAGGCATACTGGTTGACACCTAAAAAGTGACGAAGCCGTATAAGCAAGTGATATGTAAAAAGAACAAATAAATTAAGGTCCGAAATTAAAATAAGACTAGAGTGCGTCAAGAGTGTAATGAACCTTTAATAATACATGTAATGCAATCAAAAACCTAATTATGCACAGTGGAAGAATACTAATGTAACACATCCAAAGATATCAATTAAATTTACTAAGAATAGTCTCTATTTTGATGAGAGAAGATTATGCCACCACGCCTCGTGTCAAGAGCTCCAAAATCTACCAAGTCTTGGAGAGACACAAAACAGAAAGTGTGAGTAGCAAAAATGTAGATTTCTGAAATGAATTGTCCCTTTCAAACATAAAGTACTAGTTTGGTGCTAAGGTGCTTTTATAAAAAGTGGGTATCAAAAAAAGCTGAGCTCAAAAAGGTATTTGGTAAACACTTAAACATAACTTATTTTCACAATTTTGGATGAAAAAAAGCTGAAAACGTGAAGCAGCAAAAATGAGCTTTGAAAAAAACTGAAAACGTGAAGCAGCATAAATGTTGGATTATGATTTCTTGTTAAACGTTGGATTATATGTTTAAGATAAAGTTTATAAATATTTTTCTTTTAAAAATAAAGTATATTTAGTAATTCACCCTTAAATTAATGGCACATCTCGTATTATACCATTTTTTGTTATTTCACACAGTCGCAGTTGTTTTACATAAAAGTTTACCAAATACTATAATATTGTTTTTTTTTTTTTTCTCTAAAAGCACTTTTACAAAAAGTTTACCAAACACTCTGTTACTTTATTTCATAGCTGCTTATTCTCACACTACAGTAGAAGTTTTTTTTCAAAGCACAGCAATACCAAATCAGCCCTAACCCCTCGTTTTAGGAGGGTAATGACAAGGAAGTTGAATTGCCTTTACTATTCACTCTCAATAATAATTACATTTGCGAAACTCCATTGTTGAGTAAGGGTTTTGAGCGATTACTATTCATAAATATATATTTTTATTTTGTATGCTTTGTTAGTGTATTCTCCAAGCATCACTATTGCCTTAGATTTTCGATGAGATTTTCAACCATTTTCATGATGCCACACGTCATGATCTATTAATAATATTGCTAAGACTCTCGACCATTCAAGTAGAGCCACACGTCCTCACCCAATCTTCTATTTGTGTTGTGCGTTTAATTCTAAGTGTGTTATTTTTTTAACAAACGATATAATCTACACTAAAAGGGTGGGAGAGTGTACTAAGCCTCACAATGGGCTATCAATAAAGGGGTTCAAATTCGTCTTTGGTGAGAACCGAGCCTAAAATATCTCATTTACCAGTGAAGAGGAATACACTAAATTGTAGTACTAAGTGACAATTTTAAGTATGTTATTTGTAAGTGTGTTCAACTTTTTTAGTTTGTTAGTGTGTTTAAGGAGATTGCAATAACAATACATATTAAGTTGTGGTACGAGGAATGAAGAATATGGTTGGGTTAAAATTTTTTAGTATTTTTTACTGTTGGATTATGCTCGTTGATTTTTCAAATTGTTTCGAAACCAACTACCCAGGACACGAGGGGTAGATAGCCGCTGGGATATGCCGGCTGGCATCTATTACGGTGCCTGCCTTCCGCTTGCTGACGTCACACTGACATCATTCATTCATCGATAACGGGCTCAAGGCCTAACACGAATTGGTTGAGCAACCCAACAGGCTTGGTGGAGCCTACGAATTGCACTCCAAAAATGGCCGCTGGAGCACTTTTTTTGTGTTTTGGATAATTAAGCAGCCCTTGCCTTTGTCTTTTGGGAACCGGCGGACTTGCTCCTGGAGCATCTTCATTGGAATTCCTTATTTACCGACTCTCACCATTATTTTTTAGTACTCATTTAAAGAACTTAAAGGAAATTTTTGTATCCTAAGTAATATTGCATTCAATGAGAGAGTATTATAGTATAATCCATAAATTTGAAATTTTTATGATTTCATGTGATCGTTTAATTATGTGCACATTTTAGACTTTTTTTAATTAATTAAAATCATTAAAATCTTAAAACAAGGTTGTGGGTTTTGTTTTCCACTCAAGGTTGTGTCATGATACAGTCTCTAAATGTGAGTATATACATTATATATCTGATGAGCCTTTATGTTTTTCTTTTAACAATCGATATTATTTATACTGAGGGAAGGAGACGAGTTTAGCCTCATAATGAACTCGCAATAATATAGTTTAAATTCACATTTGGCGAGAATCGAACATTAAGACCTTTCACTGAAAAGAAATATCACTAAATTATAATATTAAATGACAGTGATCTCTATATTTTAAGAACTCACTTTCCCATCTATTTAAGACTCCACTAAAGATGTTTTTAGACCGACAGAAATAGAGAGCATCTTGCGAGAAAACCTATACAAAGTTGAACGGCCAAAGATTGAAGGGTTCGATAATAGGGAGAGAGGTCCGCCGGGAGATACATCGACCTCCCTCCTTGGGAGTAGAAACACGAAAACCCAGTGGAGAAAAGGTATTTGACATCACTGACATCACACTCACTCATATTGCATCAGATTAGAATCTCAGTTCGACAGAGATGGACAATTTTCGTACAAGAAAAAGAGATTCAATGAATTCTCTCTCTGTTTTCACTCACTCTGAGGTAAAAAATTTCTCAACCCTTTTTATGATTCCTTCAATTGGGTACTTTCAGCTCTCTGGGTTTCTCTGATTCATCGAAAATTTCCAATCTTTGGCTTTAAATTCAGCTGCTGCTAATTGGGGTTTTCTACATTTGGTTGTGTTTTATATGATAGTGCTTGGTGTTGGACTTTTCCTTTTTATGGTAAATTTAGTATTTGTTTCACTAAACAAGCTTTTGGGTTGTATTTTTTACTGGATTTGATGTTAAAGTTTGAGGCTTTTCTCTCTATCTCTGTGTTTTGTTTGTTGTTTTCGCTGTTTATATTTTTCCCCATGTTACCTTTACATATATAATAAGTGTATACTCAAATGTCGTCATTTGGATGAAAGAAAATGTAACTTTTGAAGTGTAGGGAGCTCACCATGTATTAACTCATCATTTCTGTTTTTTTCAAATTCTGTATTGGATGATATTTGGTATTTGATGAGTCAAATTATTCCCCATGTTTCAAATGTCCTATCTACCGAGAAGCAACTATGGTTGCAGATGGATTCGCTACTCTAGGACATCATTACAAACGGGCTTGTATTCGGTTTAGTAAATTTCCTACTACATTTATTCCTAGGTTCAGTTATGGCTTATGGTTTTAGGACCCGAAGAGGATCCGCTCTATAATTTTCGTATTCAGTTATTCAAAAGATGATTTCTGTATCAGATATTGATTGTATTTTGCCTTTTAGTAGATTATGGAAATGGAAAATTTAATTAAGCATGTCGGAAAGCAATCACTTACTCAGGAGTTTTTCCAAGACCTTGCAACAAGTTTCAGGTGATTCTGTAATGCTAAATAGTATAGGTTATAGCCTGAATTGGCCAGACACATTTGTTTTATTTTCTTGTCAAAAAAGAAGATAAAAAGAATGATTTCTTGGAATTAAATATGCATACTTATACAGAACAGGGTTTTTCCAAGTACGCGCCTTTTATTAAGTTTTTCGCATTGCTCTGTCTTTTCAGTTGCGCTCCAATCCGTGCTGGAAAACCTGATGTAACATGGGAACAGGTTAGTCATTTATTTTTACGTTTTCGTTGCTTTATCTTATTGTTTATACTGGAGCATTTTGTAATGTTATCAGTTCGTATTTTGTTTTAGGTGCAAAGTTGGTTCCAGGACAAACAAAAAGAGCTGCAACCCAAAAGCACTTCCTCGCCTAATGCTGTCGAGTTATTGGTTGATTTTTCAGATTCAAATGTCTCAAGAAATGCACCTCAAGTTTCTCAGAAGCCAAAAGGTTATCCTTTTTGTCAGTATGGATGAAGCTGTAGAAAATGTGGTCTTGAATATTGAATGGCTTTTCCATGTTAAATGCAAATTTTGATTTACCATGTAGTTAAAATTATTTCTATGCTAACATCAAGCAACATGAATAATAATTGATGATATTACTTTCAAGTTCCTTAAAATTCCAAATCAGAATGGCATCAGCTTGGAGCCCTTTAAAAGCCATTGTAGCATGTCGGTGCTATCTTGGCAGAGAAGGGCAGGTGGGTTAAGAGCTCGGTCAATCTCAAAGTCTAAGACCTAATTGATTAATTTGTGATGCTACAGTATTATCAACACAATTCTTTTAACAACTTGTGGCCTTGTCTATGTGATGTTACTCAATCGAGGGGTCTTCAGAAGCCATAATTATACATTTTTTGAAGTGCTATAAATGCTATTTTATTACTCAAATTACTAGTTGTCTGATAGGTGGTGCACTTTCTCTGCATATTGATTGACTGGATTCTGATTGCAATATATTTCTGTGGTCAACCTTTCGTCTGCTATGCCTTACATAAATTAGTTATATGCGATATATTGTTTTACCTTTCTTTTGTCATGTTTCATTCTTTTTGTGTAAAATTTTTGCTTACTTTATTTTCCATGTCATATTATCTTTTCGCGTATGGTGCAGTGGTAAATGTTATTTCTCGCTTTCCAGGATTTTGCGTTCATTATTTCTGTTATCATCTTTACATGGAAAGAGATATTTTCACGTGCATGGTCTTCTGCAACATATGTTTAAAATCTTTATCTGTTATATAGAATGCTTATGTTGTCCTTAGGTCACTATTTATGTTGAATTTTTCAGTTATGATACCGGGACATTATTTCTTAACATGTAATCTCAGAAAAACTTTATCATGCAGAGCAGTTAAATGGGGAATCTTCGATCTATGTCTGATTTCTCATCGAAAATCTTACTTGATAACTCTTAACTCAGGTAAATGGGTCACAGAACTTTCAGAGTTGGCATTTGAAGCAAAATCATCAAAAGATGATGCATGGTAAGAATTTGTCTATTCAATGATCCTTTCCAAGTCAACTCTACTTGATTCTCTATGTTACATTTGAAACACGTGTTCCCTGTTAATATGTTACATGGCAAGAGTACCATCCCTACTTAATATAGGAGTAAAGTAGCCGAAAAACCATTGACATCATTTAACATTAAATATGCATATTGTTCTTGTTTTGGAGTGGCGTGAGTATTCCTATTCATTCCATAATTCCATGAGATTTCTTACCCTATGTGATATACATGTTTGAAGCATTTTTCTGTGTGAAAGAGTAAAATATAAACTTTGGGCAGATCCACAATGTGTAAGTATGGTTCTCAAACAGTGCAGTCAAACTTAGGTTCAGAAGATGCCTAACGTTATTATGCTCTCGAAGAAAAATGAACTAGCCTAATTACTTGTTAGGAAATCATCCAAAAGTAGTTATAATTGTTGGATTCTGAATAGTTTACTTTCTTGAGTTACGGTATAAAAACACCTTTATTCTGTGATATACCAGAGTTTTGTTACTATAAATTAACTCAAGATGTTTTGGGGATTTACCTAATTAATGCCACTAAATAAACATCAAGGTGAAAATTTGTACGTAGTTTATTATTTCTTTCAATTCAGATTGAAACACAACAATACCTGACATTTTTTGGCTTTCCAGGTACGATGTTGCTACTTTCCTCTCATACAAAGTAGTCAGTTCAGGAGACCTTGTAAGATTCATCCTTGTCATTATTTAGTATAATCATTATGCTTCGTTTGGATTAAAACGCAGTTCTTATCTTAGGTCTATTTTCCAATGTAGAGTTTTATGAGAATAATGCAATAAGTCATCCATTATGTCTTGATCTCTTTGTTTTATTTGCAAGTATGAATTTCCATTTTCTCTTAGGCATTTATATTTTAAAGATATACTAGCAAATATTGTCTCTGCTTGAAGAGAGATTTTAATGTTTCCCTGTTATATGTCACAGGAAGTTAAAGTGCGGTTTTCCGGATTTGGTAGGGAGGAAGATGAGTGGGTGAATGTGAGAGGTGCAGTACGTGAGCGATCTATTCCTTTGGAAGCTTCTGAGTGTTCGAAGGTGAAGGTTGGGGACCTAGTGCTGTGCTTCCAGGTAATCTTCTAGTCTATTTCTTTTAAATTTGTCCCATAAGCTGCCTTACAATGATGCATTGGAGTCCAAAATATTGTAAAAGGCATATTTTTTGTTAATGCAAACCTTTCCAAAGATATTAGTACTCTCTTATCGTTCGGCCTTAAAACCTTATTCGCAGGAAAGAGAACATCAAGCTGTATACTGTGATGCCGAAGTTGTGGCCATCCACAGGGGGCTACATGACATGAACGGTGCTTGCAAGTGTACCTTTGTTGTTCGCTTTGACCATGATAGCTCCGAGGTAAATTTCCGAGGATCTATGTTCATGTATCTTCGTGTTCAGGTTCAGTTTTTCTCTCTAACGTTGGCTGATCGGATTGATGTTACTAATAATACCAGGAACATGTTGATCTGGGGAGGTTATGTATCAGGCCTGCACAAAGCACTTCAGGCTATACTAAAACCCAACCGGAGCTCTTTACAAACAGGGACATGAAATTCTCTTTTCTTTATTGAAATATGGCGCTGGATGGCCGGAGGCGGCGATGTTTGTAAATTTCTTTAAAACTTTAACTTGAGATGTGTTCCGCAACTGTATTATTTGCAGCAAATTACATTAACATCTTGTTACCAACAAGCATAATCTCCATATTCTCTGCACGGACACCTCGCAATCAAATCACAAATTGATACGATTGAAAAAACTTGCCACATCGTGCTTTTAACGAGTCAACTGAGGCGGTGATTGGTGGTAAATGATTTTCACTTGTATTCCTACATCTTTGTTAATTTTTGTCTCTTGATTATTATTTTTTATTTATTTAATCCAATTAGTCATAAATAAACACGAAAAATCAACGAGTGCATAGTAGAATCGAGATATTCCAAACGTTGTGGGTAGGTGATGTGATGGTTTGTCAATGGATGTCAGATTGGTTCGTTGAGATTGTGACTAGGCAACTTTGAATGTTCCTGAGGTGACAATGCTTCCATTCCAATTTCCAAGGGTCGAAAATAAGACTATTTATGCTCGAATGCTTCCATTCCAAGGGTAGAAAATAACACAATATTTATGCTCCCTTTGTTTGCAGAAACAAAATTTAGAATTAATCTCAGTTTATTACACATTTCATATATAATTTTTTTTTTTCGTTCTAGTCCAGTACCTAAAGTTATAATTTTAAAACATTTTCATGTATCGGTTAAACTGTCTATTAAAACAGCTGTGAATTTATGACGTGGTGCCCACGTAAGTACGACTGTGTGCTATGCTCCTTCGTTTGCAAGGAAACGCTCTTTTCATTTATCATTCACATCAACAAACAAGACACTGCTCCCGCATTAGACAGAAACAGACCAACTATAGGTTTCGGCTACAAGTTTCTATAGTTACAATTAATTAGAGCTTCAAGTCATCAAAAATTTCTCGGTAGAGGGCGTTGAGACTCCCCGACCGGAAACAATGTCGCAATGGTGTCGGCAGAATCCCAAATAGTCGTTGGGCGGCTTACGAAACTGTTCGTCCATAACAAATGGATGCAAGATAAAGGTTCTTCGACCATTTCTCCTGTAATATCCATATATGAGTTAAGTCCAATGTATTGAAAGATCACCAAATAAGGGAAAGAAAAAGAACCTGCCAACAGTGAAAATATTATGTTACCTTGACATGTGTACTGGGAAATACAGAAGTACGGAGCGTCTCCTGCGTTTCGTCTTGAAGCTTCCTCTTTGGGATACTAAGAACAAAGGCAGCTTGATCGGACGTTGCTGCAGTTGCTGTTATGCGGTATCCACTGTCCCACCGCTGATGAATACCTTCGCTTGGATAAAGGAAATCTAACTCAACAACCTGAAAAACAGAATATTGTCTGCCTGTTAAATAATTAGTTCCATACAAACAGGACGCGTTGGCAGGATCATAAAGTAACAACTAACAGAGTCAATACTGCTGCCTTCACCAACTCATTAGACCAAATTGTCTCTCTAATTACTCGAAAGAGAACTGTGTTCTTAGATCCAAGATTACCTGGCCCGAATAATTTGCACCACGAGACATAACAACTGCCCATCTACTTCCAGAAGTGGCCATTGCAGTAACATAGAAACCCTCCCGCCACTTTTTGTTAATCCACTTGTAAGGAAATGTATCGGTTACTTTGTATGACTGCTGTGTAAACGTTGTACCTGGACCCATACAAATGGCATCAGCAACCAAAAAAAGCGGCCATTTTTAGATTAAAATGTTTGATAAAATTGAGCCCCAAAACGACTAGACTATTACACTAACCCTTGGACATTACTACTAATGAACTCCCGTTAGTGGCTCCAGCTAAAGCACTGATGTAATAGTTCTTATCCCATTGCTCCATTATCCATTCCTTCAAACACACAAAAAAATCATCCTTGAGATTAAATAAATATAAATTTTGAACAAAAATATTGTTATTTACAAACAGTTATTGCCAGCATTAAATAAAACGACGAAGTGGAAGTACAGATTCTAGCAAAAATAAGTTATTTTTGTCAGAGAAGACAATCACTTCTGGTCGATTGAGAGTACAAGTTTGTACCTTGTGAAGACAGCATGGTGAAAGTTCGTAAACTTGGGAAGAAAAATTAGTGCCTGCATCCATAATTAAGGCCCACAAATTTTCATAAGAGGCCACACTGCTAATATATAACCCATCCTCGGTCCCTTTGTCAATATGCTGAGCAAGCCTTGTATCAGCCACATTATAGTGATACCTAAAGAACGTAAGAGGAAATACTTTAAACAGTAAGGGGATAAAAGACAACGATATAACTATAAAAACAGAAAGCAAGATACACAGCGAAAATATATTATCACGATGAGAGGTCCCCAAATCCATCACTAAATAAGCAATAGCTTCACTGCTTGTGATATAAATACCTTTGCTTCATTGGTCTATGAGCATTATAAACACTAATCCATTGATTTGCTGGCATACCCATCCTAATCCTCTTCTTTGGTTGTTCATCATCTTCCTCCTCCACCGTCAATCTTCCTCTTTTATGACCGACCAGATTAATAAGCTTCACAATTAATAGAGCAGATATTAGAAGCACTAATCATACCTTTAAAAATATATGTACCAAAACTACCGCTCAAGGGTAAGCCATCAACAACAAAAGGAGAGAAGATCATGCATACCTTCAGTGCACCCTCTGTGTTTATTGGCCTGATATTAGGAATTGGACCTACAATCCCATCAAAAAGTGATATATACTTCGCATAATTCGGCTCTTCATCGAACTTCAAGTTCACCACATATTCCACAAATTGTCTAAAGGGCTTTGGCTTGAAGGAACACAATGTCTCTGGAGATGTTGCCATCTTCTTCTTGCAAACAAGAAACCCCTTATTGTCTCCCTGAGAAGACCAACATGTTATAATAAAATGTAATGAAATAAACAAAATAAGGCAAGCACAGCACAAATTTTTACTCAAGCTAAGAAAGAAAGAACAAACCTGATATCCTTGCCAAGGCAGACGACCACGTAGAAGGAATATAAGGGTGTAAGTTAGAGACTCGAGATCATCTCTCCTACTACCCGTTCTCCCTAAATGCGCATGCACACTAGCGTAACGCACTGTTCCTCTGTCAGACCAGAAAACTTAAGAACAAAGTAGCAGAAAATTTTAAGAAAAGAGCATAGAGATGAGTAAATGAAACAAAACAAGATAGGAAACAATGCTTGTACCTGAAAACATCTGGCCTCTGGTCATATTCTACATGCTGACCACTAGTAATTTCTCGCCATCTAGTTGCTGATAAGACCAAAACAAGTTATATGATGATGACTCATTGACGACTACCATACCACTTAGCATTAACAAAACCCATATTCAAAAAGTACCTAATCCAAGGTCAACCAAATACAACTTTTTCTCATCAGGAGTCCCAGGATGACCAAGCAGAAAATTCTCAGGCTTTACATCCCCATGTACATAGCTGAAAACAACATGGTAGGAGAGTTAAACAATGGATTGATTATGGCTTTCAAGTTTCAAGGAACTGAAAAAACATCTGAAAATATGGCCTCTGGTCAAACCACAAATCCGGTGATTGTCTCACAAATCTACTTAAACTATCCCTCAAAAAATTTCTAAATCAAAAGTTTTAGTGGTCAAATAGTAAGTTGTGCATTGTGAAATTTCCAAACACTCCATCAACCCTGTTGTCCATACAAACTTTACATGCAACAACTACCTTTCTTATGTCTTAACTCTTGAACTTTCAAAACAATAAAATTGTATGTAGCGGAAACAAATAAATATTCCATTCCATATGAACTCGGATACTCAAAGAGCCTAAATATGATATTAAGATACTAGATAGAAGAAGCATAGGCTTACTATTTCACATCAATACTTCCCACATGTAAATTTTATCTAAACAAATCCATTGCACAACATTAACAACAAAGTTCTTAGTTGTTTCATGGAGAGAGAGAGAGAGAGAGAGAGAGAGAGAGAGAGAGAGAGAGAGAGAGGAACAACGAAAATGACAACAAAATATGAATTGATTGGCAGAAGAAACTCTCACCCTCTACAATGTATCTTCTCCAATATTGATATTGCTTCAATGGCAATGCATGCAACCATTTCAACAGACATTCTAAAATTACAAAGGTGACTAAATTACTCAACCGGAAATCATGAAAACCATTAAATAATAATTAAAGAAAATTCGTTAAATTAAGAGTCACTTTTGTAATTCACACTTACGTGTGAGAGTTATTATTCCAAACATCCCACAAGCTTGGCCCCAAGATATCCATAACCTGTACATTGAAGGGTTTAGGAAATATCAAAAAGCTAGTCTTGAACTAGTATATCACACAACTATCAAAACATTACATTGTGGCTATCAATATTCAAAACAAGTCAAAAGAAGACTGCATACCATGATATAATAGTCGCCTTGCTGGCCCTTGAAATGTACTCGCGGCACGCCATGGCTGCCACCAAGAGTGCTGTAAACGTAACACAAAGTAAATGATAGATTCATAAATACTATTAAAATTTAAAAACATTGCCAAAACCTGTATAATAGAGGCATCCTCACCTGTATATTTGCCACTCAGCTGGTGGTCCATAGCTACACCCTTTACTGTTTTTATGCTCGAATTTCAATGCCACCTAAGATACAAAGGTAACAAAATGTGTATACAAGGGAGAAGCAGAAAAGCAAGGTAAAAGGTAAAGACAGAGAATAAAACTCAACAATAAAAAAAAAAAAATAACAACGTTCTTTACCTCTAAAGCTCCTGGGCCAATTCTCTCATTTGGATTTATTATACGTCGACCAACATAGACTTGTCCGAAGCCACCTTTACCGAGCTTTCTTTCCACTTTGTAAACAGGGGAACCACCAACCTGAACCTGCAGCAAACAAACATAGAAATTTGAACAGAGACAGAACAATTAAGCGTCGAGTTATTGAAGAAGAAAACAAATATGAAGGTTCTATCCAGGATTCCAGATGCAGCAACATGCATGCGGTGCAATTCTCAGAGTTAGAGCTGTAACTCCTCATCATTATCAGTAGTTATAAAACAATAGTTTAGTAATTAAGATATATCATGGGAGATGCCTATAACTAACAGGACACTAGGACTACAGCATAGTGATCATCGAAAATGTAAATCACGACATAAATCAAAAGCTGCTTATACCTATCCACTAACATTTAGTAATACTAAGGAGCAGCTGAAACAGTACCCTTCTAGTTCACAAAATAACACCATAACTGCATTCCAACTTTAACCAGAAACTTAATTTGTTCTCAATACTTAATTGCTCGAACAAATTTTAGAGACGGATGACAAGCCAACATCTCAGTGTCAGTCAAGTTTCTAGACAGGGTTAAAAGGAGGTAAATTTCAGGTTTCCCATTTAAAACAGACAACAACATTGAAATGCAGGACAAATTAGGGATAAGTTTTGAAAAATTAACCTATCCACCAACCAAAACTCTCCATGTACATATAAACTGTTAATACAATCACAAAAAATCATTTTTCACAAAATCTAAAAGCTCTTAGATTATAACCCAGTTGCAATTCCAAAATCGAAATCAAATAAAACCCAATATCTTCACTCAAGAACAGCAAAAATACCCCAATGCCCCCACAATCCCCCATCGTGCAGACTTATACACCCAAGAATTGCAGATGACCCCTAATTGGCATTCATACTCCACGGCATTCAGTAAAGACCACATTTTTGTTACGAATTTAAAAAATTAATTAATGAAAAAAAAAAAACAAAGACTAAGGAACCTTCTCAGGAATCGGAGTAGTGCTTCCTTCGTCTTCACCGGCATTGGCCTTATCATTACTCGGAGCGGCACCGGCTGCTCCGCCGCCACTATCATAGTCATCCATTTTCTTCTCTCCCACTTTCTCCTGCTCCGCCTCAACGACTACGTTTTTCTCATCACCCACCACCACCACCTTCTTGCGATTCTCCTCCTCTTCTCTAACCTTATCACTCTCGTTCTTGTTCTTGGGATTACTCGGCACAGCTGCTTCTGCCGCCGCTGCTGCTCTCCTCCACCTTGTTCTCGTCGCTATCGCCTCCCCGGCGTCGATCGGACTCGGAACTTTCTCCTGTTTCTGCTTCTTAGCTGCTGCCGCCGCTGCTCCTCGTCCCCTGCGCGCTCCGCCACGCGGTACCGGCATCTTTCATCGTCCGATTCTCATCCCCGCGAAAACTTTGAGCAATCTACAAACGCGCCACCGCCGACCGAGGAACAGCCGTAATGCGCGAACAAGGACAGCCGTTTCAAGCCTCGACCCTTTCGTTAAATAATGCGTCGAAAGAATGTGGAATCTTGGGGTTCAATCCCCAATGTCCAAATCGCCGAGCTTCTGATCGTTCAAGAATTACGGTTTCGAGAAGATCGGAAAGACTCACAGAAGAGGGGTTCGACTAGTACAGAAAGAGGGAGACGAAGGTACGAACGAAGGAACGATTAATTTATTTTATAAATAAAATTTAGGGGTTTTAATAGAGGAATTGGATCTGCTTCAGACCTTAGTGTTCAGAGTCTAAGGTTTAATTCATTTGGATAGCACAAATTAAATCCAACGGTCTCTATTAACTTATTTTCTTAGTCTATCACATAATATCAACGGTTTTGATTTCTTTTAAAATACAATCAACGGTTTAGATGATTTGATCCCTTAAGCTATGTAATTTCTTGCTTTATATTTTGTACTAATTTAATATCTTAATTATTAAAAAAAAAAAAATTCGAGTTTTGCTAGTTTTACTATGCAATACTGCCATTTTCTTTCCTAAATCATGAATAAAATTCCTTGTATAATTTAACAATCCTAAAAATACTTGTCATTGTTTTTTGTCTTCTAGCTTATCAAGAAATTCTAAAACTATCTTAGTCACTTGTTCCAGACTTAATGTACATTACTAAAATTCTATATCTTGTTTTTCTAATGCTATTATGTTTTCGGTAATCACAATTCTATTATTTATAAATTCTTGTAAATATCTTTAAATACTTTCTGTGTTCATTCCTATTTTTACTACGTACTAAAATATCTACCTATATACTACAAAATTTACATATTTCTCAAAAATTTGGTCCATCTTTCTTTGAAAGATCGATGGAGCATTTTTCAATCCAAATAGCATAACAAGTCCTTCAAAATTTCATCTTGGACAAGTAAAAGTTGTCCACTCAACTAATTATTCTGCTAATCTAATTTGCTAAAATCTTAATTTACAATCAAATTTACTAAAATATTTATTCTCTTGAATTTCATTTATAAGTTCATCTTTATTAGATAATTTATAACTATCTTTATAAGTATTATCATTTAATCTCTTATAATTATAAATTATCCTACACCATCGTGGATGTAGCCCCAACTTGGGGTGAACCACAATGTATCGTAGTGTTCTTGTGTGTGCCTGTTTGCCATTGAATCTAAATTGGTCCAAGATTAACCTGATTTTTTTGCAACAGCAAATTTTAAATTTAATGACTCTTTTATTTGTTGCTCAAACTCTTGCTTAACTACATGGCATGTGATAGGGATTTTTACCACCTGCACAAGTAGTGATAAAAATACTAAAATACTTGCAAGAGTACAAGGTAATTGTAGTATAGATGGCTCTAGCAAGGTCGTTCTTGTCACATCCCGGCCCGGGGTGGATCACTTCCCGGGCCCGCTCCACCACCGTAGCACGATATTGTCCGCTTTGGGCTTACCATTCCCTCACGGTTTTGTTTTTGGGAACTCACGAGCAACTTCTTAGTGAGTCACCCATCATGGGATTGCTCAAGCCCCCTTCTCGCTTAACTTCGGAGTTCCTACGGAACCCGAAGCCAGTGAGCTCCCAAAAGGCCTCGTGCTAAGTAGGGATGAGAATATACATATAAGGATCATTCCCCTGGGCGATGTGGGATGTCACAATCCACCCCCCTTAGGGGCCCGACGTCCTCGTCGGCACACATGCGGCCAGGGTTAGGCTCTGATACCAAATTGTCACATCCCAGCCCAGGGCAAATCACTTCCCGAGCCCGCTCCACCACCGTAGTACGATATTGTCCGCTTTGGGCTTACCATTCCCTCACGGTTTTGTTTTTGGGAACTCACGAGCAACTTCCCAGTGGGTCACCCCTTATGGGATTGCTCAAGCCCCCTTCTCGCTTAACTTCAGAGTTCCTACGGAACCCGAAGCCAGTGAGCTCCCAAAAGGCCTCGTGCTAAGTAGGGATGGGAATATACATATAAGGATCACTCCCCTGGGCGATGTGGGATGTCACAATCCACCCCCCTTAGGGGCCTGACGTCCTCGTCAGCACACACACGATCAGGGTTAGGCTCTAATACCAAATTGTCACATCCCGGCCTGGGGTGGATCACTTCCCGGCCCCGCTCCACCACCGTAGCACGATATTGTCCGCTTTGGGCTTACCATTCCCTCACGGTTTTATTTTTGGGAATTCACGAGCAACTTCTTAGTGGGTCACCCATCATGGGATTGCTCAAGCCCCTTTCTCGCTTAACTTCGGAGTTCCTACGAAACCCGAAGCCAGTGAGCTCCCAAAAGGCCTCGTGCTAAGTAGGGATGGGAATATACATATAAGGATCATTCCCCTGGGCGATGTGGGATGTCACAGTTCTCCTCAGGGATTGAATGAATAATTTGTATCAAATCAAATCTTAATTAATTACTTAAAACAAAGTTTGAGAAAAAGTTGATTTTTGATTTCAAATAATAAAAACGAATTTAATAGAAAATAATTAAATAAAGTGAGAAAATAAAATAAAATAAAAGAAAATAAGTTTTGAAAATTAAATTGTAAAAGCCTAGGGTTTCGCCGTCACCATAACAATCCTATATAATTCTTCCAATTACTTATGAATTACACATGCATATTACTCATCAGTAAGTTAGCTGTTTTAATGGTTAAATCTAGATTAATAATATCTGATTTTGCTAATATTTTATTTTTGCTCCAATGTAATTGAGGGTCTTCTCATAGAATTCTAATTTGTTTTGCTAATTGTAATAATTCTTCCAAACTTTTTGGTCTGTCTAATTATAATACCTTTATAGGGGTTGCTTCTTCTACTATTGGATATTCATGCTAAAATATTTATTCATCAAATTCTTCTTTATTATGATGCTCATCATTTTCTTTTAAATTCTCTAAATAATAATTATCTCGACGGCTAGATTCTTCTATATTTATGCTTCTATATGTTTCTAAAGTATTACTTTGGTCAGTTATTGTTATACCCCTCTTAAAAAAATGTTATGTTAGGAATCATAAACAAAAAACCTTGCAAATTTTTCGTAACGTTTAAACCTAAAATGAATGATTATGAACCTACTAGTAAGATAAATGTTAATGGTAAATTAAATTGTTGTTTTTCTACTTTAATAGACTCATTATTAATGCATTGTGTTACATAGCTTGGTCTTTCAACAAACTGTGTTATTCTAACTAGTTTTGCTTATTTCTACCCATATTATGTTGGTACTAACTCTTCTCTTATAACACTCTTTATGCTTCCTATATTTACCATTGATGTTGTTTGTATTTTATAATCTTTTACAAGTTTTACTTCACAATTTATGGTAATTAAATAACTTTTTTTGGCTTTTCTATATTATGAGTAGGGGTGGAATTTTTTGCCAAATTACTATTGACACACCCCGACCCAGAAAGTCCACTTGGACCCTGAATCGAGCTGTGCTGGCCGACACCTGGAAGGTGACGAAGCCATAAAATGTGATAGTGTATAAAAAGTGAATGAATTTGAATCCAAAAGAGTCTAAAATACCAGAGTGCGCTACGAGTAGGAGCGAACCCATTTCACGCGCGATGTCAGAGCATAAGTAAGGTACAGTAATGTGAGTAAGAATCATACCCTCAAAAATATCCATCAATACTAAGATTCGCCACAGATTCTTGTCGATACAAACTCAGCAGCTAAAACCTGGAGGGCACCAAACAGAAGGTGTGAGTAAGCAATAAAACCAAGCTTCCCAAAGTTACTACCTCTCTAAAAGTAATGCCCCTAAATGTAAAACCCGTATCGTTTTCCATAAAACAGTACAACATATATACATATATCCAAACCATACTCGGAAATGACCAAAACCACGGTTTGCCATCAAATCCACCATACATTAATAAGTAGGCCAAATGAACTAAATCAATACAAAGTGATATATCAGTCAGAGTCATCTAAAATGACATGTACAACTTAACCGTATCTCGTCAATCATGGCTAGTATATAAGTCGGAGTCACCTATAGTGACCTGTACGACTTATCCACATCTCGTCAATCCTGGCACGACTTATCCACATCTCGTCAATCCTGGCTAGCATGTAAGTCGGAGTCACCTATAGTGACCTGTACGACTTATCCATATCTCGTCAATCCTGACTAGCATGTAGCTCAATAAGTATACCTGCACACGAGTCGGAACCACCGAAAGTGGTCTGTACGACAGGACTGGGTGTAAATAAATACGCTCGAGTGCTACGATCACGTGAAGACTGGGCGAATAATCGCGGGTCACCTACGAGTCGGAACCACCTAAAGTGGTCTGTACAACAGGACTGTGCACCTACCTTGGATCCAAGGTGAGCGTAAGGTGCGGGAGGTGAACATCACGTGAAGAACTGTGCCCTGGCCACGGGCGGGAGCACTAACACCGGGGTGCAGGTTTATGAGCTTTCAATGCATCTCAATATAACATGTGCAACTCATGGCAACCAGTACGACAGTATCGAAGTTGCCTAACTCATAACTGTAGTCGTACTATAACGCCATCGATTCAACTAGTACCATAAACTCACCTGAACTTACCTGGGTGTCCTGAGTTCACCTTTGCACTTGAAAGCATTCCCCATAATTATATGCAAGTAATATACATATGGATATATCATGATGCAATCTACTACTCAACCATGTCGTAGCATTTTCAATTATAAACAATATGGTATGAAGTGTACAATCAATAACGCCCTATTCCCAAACTACTTATTTTCAAGGATAATTATCCATGACAACCCAATTAACTCTAATTTAACTAACTAATTCACAAAACTAAAACTTGTCTTTACCAATTTCCTTCGCATTTCTTAATTTCCCAAGCAAGGCTTTTGTCTCAAATATTTTATGGATGCATCTAACGTCTCGTTAGACTGCCTACGTACCCTAACCAAGGATCAAGCCATTCGTAGTTCACATAGTACTTCAAGCATTCACAATAATTATACGAAGGTAATGTACCTAATCAATTTAAGAGTGTCGATAGAACTCTCAATAATATGCACAATAAAAAGGAAAAGATCCACTCACCTGGAGTCCACGCTATACTTCTCTAGCACGCGCATCGAGGCGTCCTGAATGATCGGTCCCTGTGGCCAATTATCAAATCACATCTCAGAACTCTTATCTGAAGAATATGCAATTCACATAAAACACAAC